AACATTTCATTGTATTATTATACTACAATTTATTTGTATAGTTTTCTGTTGAAAGGAATTTTGGTTACTTCCAGTTTTTTGTTCTTTTGAGTAGTACACCGTCAATATTCTTGAACTGATCCTCATGGTGTCCAAATGTGTACAGTTCTGTTGAGTGCAGTATTATATTTAAGAGTGAATTTCTGAGTCATAGAGTATGCATATATTCAGCTTTATTGCCAACAAGTTTCCAGAATGGTTGTACAAATTTCCATCCCTTCCAGCAGTATGGTTTCTAATATACTTTTGTAAGTTTTGGGGCTTTTTAGACATCCTCCTCTGAAGTGTCTGTTCAAGTCTCTTCTCTTTTTTTTTTCTTTAATCAGAGCAAGTCTGTCAAATCCAGGACACTCTTGGGCGACTTGTATGTACCTCTGTCAGCTGGGGAAACTGCCAGGAAGTCTCTCAAGAGAAGGGCTGTGTCCCTAATTGCTAATTCCTACCCCTCTTGCATTCTACCACCAGCCAGGTCTCCATACCATTTACATTAGCTGGAGTCCCTTTCAACAATATGATCTGGCATGATAAGAATCTGATTGTTTTTTCCTTCTCCCCAGCCAACTACCACCACCCAGGTAGCCTTTTTTTTTTTTTTGAGATATAATTGACATGATACTGTATTAGTTTTTGGTATACAATATAATGATGTGACATATGTTCTTGTTCATTTTTTAAACTTAGCTTTGCCTCTTTCATTGATTTGTAGGGGGTTTTATGTATTCTGTATATGAGTGTCTGTGGCTACCCTTTTTACTCTGCTGATGATATGTCCTGATGAATGCAAGTTCTGAATCTGATGTATTCTAGTTTACCATTTTCTTTATAGTTAGTATATTTACTAACAGCTTATATGCTAACTAAAGATCACATAGTTAGTATATTTTCATGCCCTCTTAAAGGAGTCTCTATATACCCCCAGGTAATGGAGATACTCAGTCATATTTTCTTTTAGCATTTTGTTTTACCTTACCTGTTTAGAATCACATTCATCTGAGAGTAGGAAACCACATGAGCAAAAATAGAGAGGAAAGTGTGGGATATGTGGGAGACAGTGAGTATACCAGTTTGTTTGGAGCACAGGTTTTTGGAGGGTCTTGTGGGAAATAAAAGTAGAAAGTTAGATTAAGGAAGATAGTGTGGAACCAAGAAGACTTAAGAAAAATGTTACCCTGCTTTATTCATTCTCACATGAGCAGGTATCATTAGCAGTAGCCTCCAAAACATCTTATATAAAGGTACTTGTGTCTCAAGAGGGATCATGCAGTTGTGTGGATGACTCAGTTCAAATCAACTACCCTCTGCACGCCAACAAGACAATAACAACAACAAAACAAAATAAATCTATCATATCTGCTGACTTTATTTTTATGTTTAAAAAATTCTTCATTTATGTGGAAGGGTATGTATAGCATTATCTTGGTCTAATTAGCTATTATTAAATTACTTCTCTTTTTGCCAAATAGAATAAATGTTTCTAATGAGTTATGCTAAATAATAGCAGCATTCACTGATACTTCTGTTAAACAAGCAAGCAACAAAAAGGCCTCCCAGAAATAAATTATATTCATTATCTAGTAATTATATTTCTTTGGAAGATAATATAAACTCTCTGTTAGAATTATTCTTTCTTTAACATATTTTATTTAAAATAGTTTTCCTTGTATGAACATATCATTTGTACCTGATTACTGAAAGAATGGGGATATAATATTCTTGTAAATTTTTTTCTTAAACACTTGACTGCGTGAAAAGTGAAGTACCATACAATGTAAGGGCGTGTATGCATACATATAGACAGATGTGTAGGAGATATGTGCACATGTATGAAAATAGGTAGTTAATTTGTTTCACCAAGTAAGATTAGAGATATTTAGTTCAAGTTTAAAATAGCTTTGGTGTATGATTGACAAGATGACAATACATTTGATAACTTGCAACTGTAGTTTTATGCCACTAAGATATTTTTCTTATTTAGTATGGCATAATAGGCTACATCTTATTATCCAGACTATCTTTCTGACTCTTTGAGGGAAAAAAAATAGGACCAACTTGTTAGGTCTCATTATCTATTAACAAGGAGAGACAGGAAGTAGACACATGGATAATTAAATCCATTGTCAAGTTCAGCTTATAAAATGACTTTTGCCAGGATTTTCTACACCTTCCTCCAGAAAGCCTGTTGTTACAGTTCCTACTGGTAGCTGAGATATGGAGAGTTTGAATTTCAATTTATTTCCTCCTCTTCTTCTCTTAAAGATACTAATAAACCATGAGCTGGGTCAAAGCCCCGGAGTATATAAACTGTGGGAAGATACAGAGAGAGCCAGACAAAGGGAAACACTCGTAAATACTAATAAGTGAACTCTCATTAAACGTAATGCTTTTCTTAATCCTTGTTGGGTCTGGACTGCACTGATTTGTATCCTGACATTAAACTGAAAAGAGATTGTTTGAAAACATACTACCTTCATGGACAGAACCATCCAGACATTTTTGGAGGATTAAACAATAAAGTTAGAGAATTGATTCTGGCTTGATAAGCAGATGTGTGACTTTCTAGTATATTCCCAAGGAAAGCTAAGAGTGTTTTCCTTAAAAAGTCATGGTCTCAGGGAAGATTTTGATCAGGCCCGTTGCTAGTATTTGCAAGAGTAAAAATGGTGACCTTGGACTATATGTCTACATTTAAAATCATAAATAAAGCTAACAACCTGTTAAATAAAATTAATCTTATACTCCTTTTTGTTTGTTTTTAAGATTTTATTTATATTTTATTTATTTTTAGAGAGAGGGGAAGGGAGATAGAAAAAGAGGGAGAGAAACATCAATGTCTGGTTGCCTCTCACACACCCCCTACTGGGGTCCTAGCCAGCAACCCAGGTATGTGCCCTGACTGGGAATTGAACCTACGACCCTTTGGCTTCCAGGCCAGCACTCAATCCACTGAGTCACACTAGCCAGGGCTTATACTGCTTTCTGGATAAGATACTTTAGTAACGTACTAGAAGACCAGATTTGAATTTAAAATTTTGGACTCTGGGGTTTCAGGTCAGAGCATGACAATGTGGGGAGCTGACCAGCTCCCCTTCCCTTTTTATTGTTGTCCTAAGCTCCACTGTTACCTTCCTAAAAAAGAACTGCCCTTGGCCACTGTGTGGATGAATTTAGGTTCTCAAATTCTAAAGATAATCTCTTAAAACCACTTCCATATTCTCCCATATTCTCGTGGTCTTCCCTGTCATTGTGAGTTGAATGGGAAGTGATAATGATAACTAGGTACCAGTGATTCAGCTGGTGTAGGTTCTTTGCATATTTTATCTTGGGTATCAGCATTTTTTTCTTTTTAGAGCTAAGTATTTCAGTAAATGCAAGACATTAAATTTATACTTATACACAATTGTTTCAGCTATTGTTATTTTAAGAAGTAAATTTTCAAAGTTACTTTTCTTCTTTTTCCACAATGTAACAACATTTTAGGAAATGCTACCCTGAAACCAAGCAAAGTAAGATTCAGAAAATATCTTAGCTTGGCTGCTACCTCCAGGGGTACAGCAAATCAATTGTTGACACACTTCTTTAGTCCTCAGTACCTCCTAACTTTTCACCTGTGCAGTGATGAACTTGCCTTGCTTTTCCTTAGGGTTACACCTAGGCCTGTCGTCTCCCTTTAACCCCCAGGAGGAAACACAGCACTGCTAGATAATGCTGATCAGATTTCGGGGTTTAAAGATATGTGACAGTTAGCCAACTGGTTTTTCTAATTTGAAAACTTCATAGTTTTAAATCATTCCTAAAGGATGAGGCCTTAAAGAAGATATGCTTCTTCATTCATTTTAAAGGTTAAATACTTAGGTGTGTGTAAAAGAGAAAATGAAGTGTAGGATTTGATCCTGTGAGCTTAAGCTTCATGAAAAGCAGGTGCCACAGCTCTCTGGACTCTCTTGGGTTAGCTGGAGATAAGTCGTCATGAAAATGTTGGCTTTGTAAATAGAAATGGGGATAATTTTTGAAAAGATAGAACAAAGGAAGTCGACACAGACATGAGGACTAGAATCACTAGAATGTGGAAATGACCACAGCCAGTCAGTCAGGTGCAGAACTCAGTGCCTGCAGGAGTTCTCTGCTCCTTCAGTCCTGCGGCCTTTTTATGGTCGTGTACCCATGACAGTGTGGTCCGAGCAGGTAGCACATTCTTGTAACTTTTATTTCCCAAAGGCACCTTGAATAAAATAGACATGTTTGAACAATCTCAGAAACTAGTTTGTTTCCTCAGTTTACAAAATCAACCCAAAGCCAGTTGGAGAGAGTTGGCCTCATGGTGCGCCCCACCACACTGCCGTGCAGGCGTGCACAGTGTGGTTCAGCAGCTGTAGCATCCGTGAAGGTTTCTCTGGGTAGCATGTGAGGTAAAAGGAAGGAGCTTAAGTCCTGGCTTTGAAGCTGTTGTACTAATTGTTAATTTTTGCTGAGTGTATACGTTTAAAAAGGTAGCAATCTCAGCAGGTTCAGATCATAACTGTCAGATGCTTGGGGGCAGCAGCTGTGCTGATGTGAGACATTAATGGCTGGATGGGTTCAATCAGATATGCCGCCTCCAGTGTCTTTATGTAATGGCATTTTCTAGATTTCAAATAGACTGCTGAGAAAGATGAAATATAATCTCATGTATTATCTCCATCTTGAAAAAATAGATAATGAAATTTTCTCTTGCTGGCATATATTTTATTAACTTTTGTGGAGTCAACTTAAAGAACAGATGTCCCTATAGTGTTGGAACGTTTGCTAAAGTGGAGTGTTATTAAGTGCATTTGTGAGTTCTAGGAACAATCGTGTTAAGTAGAGCAGGTTAGTATCTTTTTTAGAACCACTCAAAATAATATGGCATATTGGGGGGCTAGCTGGAGAGAAAAAATGCTATAAAAATTGTATACAACTGAATTCTTTTTTCTTCTTTCTTACAGAGTATGGAAAAGGTTCTTGTGGAATTCAATCACAAGGAGCTGTTTGATTTCTATAACAAGGTCAGTGTTTTAAAAATAATTTCTTATAAGTAGTTTTATAATATTTCCTTCATTTTCTGAATTTTTATTTTTAAATGCCCTATTATGGAACTAAGTTCTTTAAATTTCACTTGTAAACACCTTATGTTTCACAGTAGGAAGCATTGCTGAGATGAAGAGAATCTGACAAACTAAATCTGGAGGAAAATGAAAATGGCTTTAATTAAAGCAATAAGTAATGAATTATGTGGTACCTAGCCACACTGGCACTTTACATATAAAGCAGTGTTAAATATTTTTATTTCTGTGTGTAAGGGAAAAGGGAGATGCCAGTCCTTAAAGATTTATCTTTGAGCACATTTTAAGATTCTTTCCAAAGACAAGATTCCAAGATTCTTGTAATACTGATTTTTGTAATCTAGGAAACCACCATCCCATTTTAAAATCTTATGTAGTGATCACTTAAAATGAAACAGCTGTGTGTATTTAAAAGCGTAGTATTTAGAAATCATCCTTTACAAATTTGAAAACTTAGCAAGCATAAATTCTAATATTTTCACATAAAAAGTAAAAATGTTAAGTGGTATATTTATTGCCATGTGAATGTATTTAATATGCATAATTGCCAGTGCCATTCTTTCCCCTCTGTTTGCATGTTTCTGAACAGCACTTCATGTGAATTTCTCTCTCCTCACCAGCTTCCTCTCTTTTTTTTGTCTCTGTAAATAGCTAGAGACCATACAAGCACAGCTGGATTCCCTTACATGATGCTCCTGAAGACTGGTTTCTCCCGCACACTCCTGCCACCTCATTATTTTGCTTTGAAGATAGACTGCCAGGTTGTGTTTTCTGAAGGATTCAGTAGTTTTCTTCTTGTAAATTATATGGTTTGTCACTTCTTAGACAAATAATAGCTAAGAGAAATCATTTTCTGAGGACTGAGGTTTAATATATATTCTCTAGTTCCCTGAGCCAACAGCAAGCAATTGTTAAGAGCACTTTTGCTTTTAAAAAAACAAAAGTGAATGCTATATTGTTTTTACTGTCCTATTTTGGCTTTATTGCCTAACAAGCTTTTTTTTAACATACTTGATGACACCTATACAATCCCTGGATACAAGAACTCCAGTAATTACATTAATAAAAGTAAGAAAGCAGACACATGCAATCACAGTACAGTATTTTTCCTTGAATATAATGAGTATATTTTGTTTTGGAAATAATATAGGAAAGCAATTAAAAATAGTGTATCAGGTAATTCTAGTATGGGCTTCTCTGTGCATTTTTATATTTTCTCTGAGTTTAATGATTTAATAACAGTACAGGTTTTTGTATGTTTTTCTTTGTGCTGCAGATTAATAAAGATTTGCTTCATAATATGGGGGACAGATTCAGATTATGAATAAAAAGAACTATAATAAATGCTAAATGGGTATCCTTAAAAATTTCAAAACATAACTTTTACATTCACTTTCTGTATATATGTTAATTAATTTCAGTCAATAAAATTTTTCTTAGAATTAGCACAGTAGTTTATGCTGTGAATATATATATAAATATGAGTATGTTTACCTGTAAAAATAATATCAATTGAGTTTTTATGAACAAAATATTTGTTCTGTATTGTTTTCAAAGGCACAGAGAGGGAGGGAACGAGGAAGGGAGAGAAAATGAGAGACAGATTGATTCAAACGTGGCTTTTCTTCACATTAAGGAATTTGATTTCAAACTGTTCTAAACAAACAGCCATTGATGTTAAATCATTGTTTTATATTAGATATCCAAGTAATGTTAGTGTTAAATGTTTACCAAGTAAATGTTCAATATATAGAATTTATGCCCTTCTTTATAAGTGTGTTCTATATTGTCACTTAAAAGGATTGGGAGTTTGGATTACTTCAGAAAGTAAATGTTGTATTTGCTGTCCATAGTTGATCGATTTAAAAAGTTTTTAAACTCAAACTTCCACTGACAGAATATCTGGAAAACATATTTATAATATAATGCGATTTGTTTCTATATGTGTCTTATGGGATCTCTATTTTTTATGCTCTGCTCTGCCAGACTCCAGAGGGAACTACCTACTATAAACATTTTGCAAAGTGTCACAGGTTCGATTCCCAGTCGGGGTACATGCCTGGGTTGCAGGCCATGACCCCCAGCAACCGCACATTAGTGTTTCTCTCTCTCTCTCTTTCTCCCTCCATTCCCTCTCTAAAAATAAATAAATAAAATCTTTAAAAAAACATTTTGATAAATATTATTTCAGACTTCGTATGTACAAATAAACATATATCATCTCAAGTTGATTTGTTAGGCCTTCCTGACCATATCAATAGGTAGAAGTTTTCATTGATTTAATAGACAACTGCCAATGTAGGCATCTAAATTAAATGTGACAGTTCAAAATGAAGTTTCTAATAGTAGCTCATGTTATGCCCCCTAAAAGAGCTGGCTCTATGTTCTCTAAGAGCATATCTAAACCCATAGAAAAATGTGGGAAGTAGTTTTCTCTCCACTGGTCTAGTTCAAGCAAGTCTGACCAATGGCATTGAAGAAAGGACAAGTAGAAGGTCTAATTCCAACCAAGAATATAATTTTTCCTGAACTGTATTTAATTGCAGATCATTTCATTCCCTAAGGCACCATCAGTGTTTCAATTCAGAAGCCAAAGAAGATATCATTTCCAAAAAGTATTACATGCAGGTTACTTTTTAACAGAAATAAGATGGGTGGAAGAACAAGTGGGGGCTGGAACCTACTATCTTAGCAAATAACTATGTCTTGTATGAGTGTTTGACATTACTTGTTAGAAAAGAACTGATGTACTATTCTTATACCTATTAAAATAATATCTGCTATTCTTCAGTTATAAAATATTTTTAATTAGGAAATACAAAATATTATAAGTAACCTAAATTTATAGAATCTCATCATCCAGAAATGGCTATTGATGACATTTTGGTGGATTTTATTGAAGTAGTTTTTTTTCTATCCATATACCCTTCTCTTTTTTCTCCTTTCCTAACAGATTAGAGTAACACACACCACAATACAGTTTCATACTTTGCTGTGCGTATATAACATTAGAGCATGAGCACTTATGGCCCATATTGTCTAAAACATAAGTTTAATGTATATTAAATTTGAGTGAGCTGCTGTACTTTATTTAGTTATTCAATCTATTTTTGGACATTATTTTCAATTTTTTTAAATTGAAAGAACTGAAGAACTCACTTAGTGAATATCATTATATATAAACCCTAGACCAGATCTCTTGTTATTTTATTAGTATCGATTCCTAGAGGTGGGATTGTTATGTCAAAAGTATGGAGATTTATTTATTTTTTAATCTTCACCTGAGGATATGCTTGTTGATTTTAGAAAAAGGGAGGATGAAAGAGAGGGAGAAAGAGAAACATCAGTGTAAGAGAGAAACATCAGTTCATTGCTTCTCCTATGTGTCCTGATAGGGAATCAAACCGACAACCTTTTGACATACTGGACAGCAATCCAACCAACTGAACTGCCTGGACAGGGCCATGTTCTATTTTTATCTTTAATGGAATTCTATTATAAAAATAATAATTGCCCATTGTAAAAAAAAAAGAAAAAAGTCCCTCCTCTGTTTTTACCATCTGACTCCACAGAAGTACCTACCAACTACTTAAAATATTTGGTTCACATAGTTTTAGATATCTTAAGTAAATGCCAGCATGCACACATACCTCTCTTTGTGTATGCTTTTATTTGTTTATTTTAAGGCTCTGTTTGCGTATTGATACATTGTTTCTCCAAAAGTTCATATCAGTTTATACTCTTCCCAACAATAAATGAGTATTCACATGCCTCAAACTAACTTCAGTAGCCCGTCCCTCCTATGGTATGTTTTGTTCTCAATATTCTTTTAACCTGGGCTCAGGTTTTGGGAAAAGTGTGGGGGGTGAGAGTGGGTTGAAGACTAGAACATCACTAATTACTTTGGATATGTTGTATTGCCAACTCCTGAGGAATTGAAGAGGAAACCACTTCTAAGCACAGTATTTAAGTATAAGGGCGCTGAGGTTAGACATTTGTTTTCTTAACAAATGTTCAGTGAGTTCCTATGGTACCAGGAGCTGTGTACTCGAGGCAGTATGTTAACACTGATGAGCAAAATAAATATAGTTCTTGGCTTCTTGAAGCTTACTATGTTAGTCCATTTTTTAAAAAGCAAAATATAAATAAATTATGAACAAGTATGAGATTAAAAATAATTGAATTCTATTAAGAAAATAAAAGATGGGACCTCAGGGTATCAAGGAAAGATTCTCCGAGGAAGCGAGATTTGAGCCAAGTCCTATAGCACCAGTTGGAATGAAACAATAGAGGAGCAGCGAAAAGCGCTCTAGACAAGTAGAATGGCTCAGGCAATGTCCAGCGGGAAAGGCTTACAGGGGTGTCCAGCCTTTTGGCATCTCTGAGGCACCCTGGAAGAAGAGTTGTCTTGGACCACATGTTAAATACATTGCAACACATAGTCACAAAAAGAATCTGATAATGTTTTAAGTAAATTTACGATTTTGTGTCAGGCCGCATTCACAGCCATCTTGAGCCACGTGCAGCTGGTGGGCCACAGGTTGGACACCCCTGGGCCTTAGCACTTTTCCAGGACCAAAGAAGGTCAGTGTGGCTAGAATGTAGTGCACAGGAGATAGCAGAGTATGATGTAGTCACTTCTACCACCAAAATATCTTACGAATATATCTTGAGGACACTACTGTTTCCAAGTTACCATCATCTTTGCTGTGGACCACCCTGCTTCCACTCTAGTCCCACTTCAACCCAGTCTTCACACATATCTAATATTTTTAAAACATTAGTCATACTAACTACACTATCTCCCTGCCTAAAACTCAAAGACTTCCCATTACACTTCAAATAAAATTTAAATGTCTGAACCCTCGGGACAGACAAAGAGTCATATCCTATTTCTGCCACTTTTTGTGTTATTTAATTTGCTAAAGCTTAGTTTCCTCATCTTTCTAATGGAAATAATAATCTAAATAACATGGGAATGTTATGAAGATACAATGAAGTAATTCATGTTAAATATTTAACGTAATTCTTGATATGCAATAATCTCATAATTGTTAGCTATCATTTTTGTAATCACTCTAAAAAAATGAGAAGGCTTTCTGTTGAAATTGTTCCAGGTCAGGTTTGAATTGCAGAAAGCTTGCTATGAAGCCCTTCACTTTGACTTTACTTGGAGTTCCAATAATAACTATGTCTTATGACTACTAGATTCAAACATAATGCTGATCTTTCCCACTCTTAATTTTTTATTAACAAAATAAGGTAGTGGATGTATTATGGGATGGGACCAGAATTGGAAATTTTTTTCTATAACTATCTTTCTACATAGCTCTTCTGGCTCTGAGAAATCTAACTTTTAACTGTATTCAAGGAATTTCTGTATCTTCTCACCTTAGACAATGTCTTCTTCCCCTTGTTCATTATAACAGGGACCAGCAAACTATGGCCGAGGTCCTCATTTAGCTCGTCACTTTTATGAAGTTTTGTTGGAACACAGCTCTGGTGGACAGATTCTCAATCATTCCTGCCTTTTGGTATTTACATCTAGGTATAATCCTCTCCCCTTGAGTGTGGGCAGCAAGCACTTGTTATTTGCTTCTAACCAACTGAATGTGGCAAAGATAATAAGATGTTGCTCCCATGATTATTACGTTATGTAAAATTCTTTTGCACTGCCAAATTCATTCTAGAGACTTTCTCCCTTCTTACTTTGAAGAAGCAAGCTGTCATGTTGTGAGAGGGGCTGTGGACAGACTCACTTAGCGAGGAACTGAGTGACCTCTAGGAGCTGAGGATGACCGATAGCCAGCAAGAAGCTACAGCCCCAGGCCCTCAGCCCCGCAGCCTCGAGGATGTAAATCTGCACGCGGCCAGAGTGAGACTGGAAGGGAATGCTTTCCCAGGCAAGCCCCCAGATGGGAACATAGTTCCCGCTGGTTGCGATCGCAGCCTTGTGAGATCCTCCTGCATGACAGACCCAGACTCCTGGTGCGTGGTAATTGTGAAATAACAAATATGCTCTAATTTAAACATCTGAATTTATAGTAATTTGTTATGCTGTAATAGATAACTAAAGCAACAGTCAAGCACTTTTGTTTACAATAATTATAAATGAAACCTTTTGGCATCTCTGACCCACACTAGAAGAATTTTCTTGGGCCACACATTAAATATACAAACACTAACAAAAGCTGAAGAGCAAAAAAATAGTTTTAAGTAAATTTACGATTTTGTGTTGGGATGCATTCATAGCCATCCTGTGCCTCATGCAGTGTACCAGCTGCAGGTTGGACACCCCCGTACTTTATATAGTCATGTAGTCCAGGGGTTCCCAACCGCTTAGAACAGGCTGCTACCCCTCTGTGCCCTGTTAGGAACTGACAGTGGGGGAAGCTCACCTGAGCTCCACCTCCTGTCTCCACCCCACAACCTCACCCAACCCAGT